ACTGTAACCAGTGCCTGCAACCTGGTTCAGGTTATCAGTCAACCTACCAGGGTAGTTACAAACAGCACAGGAATGAAATCAACATGTATTGATCACATTATTACTAATGCTGCAGAAATGTGCTTGAAAGCAGTATCCAGATCCATTGGATGTAGTGATCACAATATAGTAGCCATACAGTGAGGGAAAAAAATATTTGATCCCCTGCTGATTTTGTACTTTTTCCCACTGACAAAGACATGATCAGTCTATAATTTTAATGGTAGATTTATGAACAGTGAACAGTGAGAGATAGAATAACAACAAAAAAATCCAGAAAAACGCATGTCAAAAATGTTATGAATTGATTTGCATTTTAAATGAGGGAAATAAGTATTTGACCCCTCTGCAAAACATGACTTAGTACTTGGTGGGAAAACCCTTGTTGGCAATCACAAAGGTCAGATGTTTCTTGTAGTTGGCCACCAGGTTTTCACACATCTCAGGAGGGATTTTGTCCCACTCCTCTTTGCAGATCTTCTCCAAGTCATTAAGGTTTCGAGGTTGACGTTTGGCAACTCAAACCTTCAGCTCCCTCCACAGATTTTCTATGGGATTAAGGTCTGGAGACTGGCTAGGCCACTCCAGAACCTTAATGTGCTTCTTCTTGAGCCACTCCTTTGTTGCCTTGGCCGTGTGTTTTGGGTCATTGTCATGCTGCAATACCCATCCACGACCCATTTTCAATGCCCTGGCTGAAGGAAGGAGGTTCTCACCCAAGATTTGACAGTACATGGCCCCGTCCATCATCCCTTTGATGCAGTGAAGTTGTTTCCAACGTCATGTTTGACGGTGGGGATGGTGTTGTTGGGGTCATAGGCAGCATTCCTCCACCTCCAAACACGGCGAGTTGAGTTGATGCCAAAGAGCTTGATTTTGGTCTCATCTGACCACAACACTTTCACCCAGTTCTCCTCTGAATCATTCAGATGTTAATTGGCAAACAGACGGGCATGTATATGTGCTTTCTTGAGCAGGGGGACCTTGCCGGCGCTGCAGGATTTCAGTCCTTCACGGTGTAGTGTGTTACCAATTGTTTTCTTGGTGACTATGGTCCCAGCTGCCTTGAGATCATTGACAAGATCCTCCCGTGCAGTTCTGGGCTGATTCCTCACCGTTCTCATGATCATTGCAACTCCACGAGGTGAGATCTTGCATGGAGCCCCAGGCCGAGGAATATTGACAGGTCTTTTGTGTTTCTTCCATTTGCGAATAATCGCACCAACTGTTGTCACCTTCTCACCAAGCTGCTTGGTGATGGTCTTGTAGCCCATTCCAGCCTTGTGTAGGTCTTCAGTCTTGTCCCCGACATCCTTGGAGAGCTCTTTGGTCTTGGCCATGGTGGAGAGTTTGGAATCTGATTGATTGATTGCTTCTGTGGACAGGCGTCTTTCATACAGGTAACAAGCTGAGATTAGGAGCACTCCCTTTAAGAGTGTGCTCCTAATCTCAGCTCGTTACCTGTATAAAAAGACACCTGGAAAAGAAATCTTTCTGATTGAGAGGGGGTCAAATACTTATTTCCCTCATTAAAATGCAAATCAATTTATAACATTTTTGACATGCGTTTTTCTGGATTTTATTGTTGTTATTCTGTCTCTCACTGTTCAAATAAACCTACCATTAAAATTATAGACTGATCATTTCTTTGTCAGTGGGCAAATGTACAAAATCAGCAGGGGATCAAATACTTTTTTCCCTTACTGCATCTTCAAAAACAAAAGATCCAAAGGCTGGGACTAATATAGTGCATAACAGGGTCATACAATTTGTTTTGCAGTGATTCCTATGTCGTTGATGTAAATAATATTTGTTGGTCCGTGGCGTGTAATGAAGAGAAAACAGACGTTGCACTTGACACATTTATGAAATTGCTTATCCCAGTTACTAATAAGCATGCAACCATTAAGGAAATGACAAAAAAACTTAAATCCCTGTGGATTGATGAGGAATTGAAAAATTGTATGGTTGAGAGGGATGAGGCAAAAGGAATGGCAAATAAGTCTGGCTGCACAACCGATTGGCAAACGCATTGCAAATTGAGAAATCATGTGACTAAACTGAATAAAATTACAAAATAACTACACTATGAAACAAAGATAAATGACAAAGAATGATAGTAAAAAGCTTTGGAGCACCTTAAATGAAATTATGGGCAAAAAGGCAAACTCAGCTCCATCATTCATTGAATCATATGGCTCATTCATTACAAAACCGACTGATATTGCCAACTACTTTAATTATTTTTTTCATTGGCAGGGAGTTTTGTCGCACCTGGACTACTGTTCAGTCGTGTGGTCAGCTGCCACAAAGAGGGACTTAGGAAAATTGTAATTGGCTCAGAACAGGGCAGCACGACTGGCCCTTGGATGTACACAGAGTGCAAACATCAATACGTCAATCACTCCTGGCTCAAGGCAGAGAAGAGGTTGACTTCCTCACTACTTGTATTTGTGAGAGCTGTCTGTTTAACCGACTAGCACACAGCTCAGACACCCATGCATACCCCACAAGACATGCCACAGGTCTCTTCACAGTCCCCAAGTCCAGAACAGACTATGGGAGGCGCACAGTACTACACAGAGCCATGACTACATGGAACTCTATTCCACATCAGGTAACTGATCCAAGCAGTAAAATCAGATTTAAAAAAACTATAAAAATACACCTTATTGAACAGCGGGACTGTGAAGCAAAACAAACATAGGCACAGACACATGCATACACACGATAACATACGCACTATACACACGTACACATGGATTTTGTGTTGTAGATATGTGGTAGTAGAGTATGGACCTGAGGGCACACAGTGTGTTGTGAATTCTGTAATTAATTTATTGTCATGTTTTTAAAATTTCATTACTGCCTTAATTTTGCCGGACCCCAGGAAGAGTAGCTAATGGGGATCCATAATAAATACAAATGTTATCGTGTGTGTGTGTGTGCATGCATGTGTCTATGTTTGTGTTACTTCACAGTCCCTGCTGTTCCATAAGGTGTATTTTTATCTGTTTTTTTAAATCTACATTTTTACTGCTTGCATTAGTTACTTGCATCAGCACTGAAGTCTAACAGCCCCCACAATCTTTTTATCATAAATTTCTCTCAGCCAATCATCAGTCATTTGTGTAAGTGCTGTGCTTGCTGAATGTCCTTCTCTATAAGCGTGCTGAAAGTCTGTTGTCAAGTTGTTTACTGTAAAATAGCATTGTATCTGGTCAAACACACTTTTTTCCAAAACTTTACTAAGGGTTGGTAACAGGCTGATTGGTCGGCTATTTGAGCCAGTAAAGGGGGCTTTACTATTGTTAGGTAGCGGAATTACTTTTGCTTCCCTCCAGGCCTAGGGGCACACACTTTCTAGTAGGCTTAAATTGAAACTATGGCAAATAGGAGTGGCAATATCGTCCGCTATTATCCTCAGTAACTTTCCATCCAAGTTGTTAAGACCCCGGTGGCTTGTCATTGTTGATAGACAACAATACGTTTTTCACCTCTTCCACACTCACTTTACGGAAATGAAAATTACAACGCTCGACTTTCATAATTTGGTCAGATATACTTGGATGTGTAGTGTCAGCATTTGTTGCTGGCATGTCATACCTAAGTTTGGCAAGATTAGCAATTAAAAAATCATTAAAGTAGTTGGCAATATCAGTCGGTTTTGGATTGAATGAGCCATCTGATTCAATGAATGATAGAGCTGAGTTTGCCTTTTTGCCCATAATTTCATTTAAGATGCTCCAAAGCTTTTTACTATCATTCTTTATGTCATTTATCTTTTTTTTCATAGTATAGTTTACTATTTTTATTCAGTTTAGCCACATGATTTCTCAATTTGCAATACGTTTGCCAATCAGTTGTGCAGCCAGACTTATTTGCCATTCCTTTTGCCTCATCCCTCTCAACCATACCATTTTTAAATTCCTCATCAATCCAAAGGGATTTAACAGTTTTTACAGTCATTTTCTTAATAGGTGCATGCTTAGTAACTGGAATAAGCAATTTCATGAATGTGTCAAATGCAGCGTCTGTTTGCTCCTCATTACACACCACGGACCAAGAAATATTATTTATATCAACAACATAGGAATCACTACAAAACTGTAACCAGGTTGCAGGCACTGGTTACAGTGGTTACAGTTTGAAGCTCTCTCTTAAGTGGACAGCTTGATGAAAGCCAGTCAATATTTAAAATCAGAGATCAAATACATTATTAAGCATTTCACACGTTATCCAAATACTGACTGTTAGCACTTGGTGGTCTATAGCAGTTTCCCATCAATCTGTGTGTAAATTGATGAGGGAAACAAACAATTTAATCCATCTTAGAATAAGGCAGTAATGTAACAAAATGTGGAAAAAGTCATGGGGTCTGAAAACTTTCCAAATTCAGACCCTTTAATCAGTACTTTGTTGAAGCACCTTTGGCAGCGATGTCTCGTTATTGTGACAATAAATAAATAAGTACATTTGTGACCCATTTGTCCATGTTTCTTGGGGATGTTTCGATCCTATCCTTAAAAATGGCAAGGTCTTGAGATATTCTGAACTCATCCAGTGGTATAAGCACTGTTTTATTTCTCTGCAAATCGATGTGTGTGTACACTCTATAACAGCTCAAGACATGGTTATGACGCCCATCAGTCCATGTATTGTAATTATGACACAAAGGTTTGTAACATCTAGTATGTAGACTCCTAAATAGCATGTTATAGCACATGACATGAGTGGTCATACAGCATGTGTTATAGCAACAGTTGAGAGCACATGACAACAGTCATCTATAACACCAATTACAACTAGCTTTACATCTGCCGTTGCTCATAATTTAATAATTGTAGATAACTTAAACACCTTATGATGAATGTTATGTGTTATGTAGCTTTTATAAAGTCTTTATGGACTGATAGAGTTTAATTGTCACCTACAGTAAAGAGGCGGCGACTTTACTTACCTGATGACATTGCTGTAGTACGAGTTTGAGGATTATTTGAAGGCTCATACCTGAAGAAAGTACTTCAGGAATATTTGAGCAGTATTACCTAAAGACAGAGGCGTAGTACTTGAGGAAGCCCAGCAGCAGCTCTCCCAGGGAGGCCTGGTTGGACGAGGAGTAGGGGGGGATGTCTCTAGGACCTTCAGGCACCAGGTGGATGTCCATGGAGGGACGGAAAGAATCCTGAAACAGCAGGGATGTATTCATCAGCGACACCGTTGGAAATTGTTTTGCACCGTAGCAAAAAGTTTTGCAACAAACCCCCCGCCCCCCAAAAAAACACAGGACGGAATCGCGGAATCCAGACAATAAAACGGAATTGAACAATACATCTTTTTTTTTTTTTACTTAGTAGAAAATCTATTAAATGTTTTGAACTTATTAGAATGTAGTTAAATTCCACTAGTTTTTCATAGAGCAAGCATCAGTCATTCATATTTCCTGCAACTTTCCGAAGAAGTCACGGCATTGGGAATGCGCTCGTTTGTGTTTTGTAGCCAGATGGCATGCTGAAAAACGTATTTCTAAAGGCTTTCCAAAAACGTTTCGAATTAAATGTTGACTGCAAAGTAGGCCTAGCTGGCAGAATGATATCATGATGATCAATCGGGGGGGGGGCATCGCGTGTAGTACAGAAACATCGCTAGCCAAACACGTCTCTTACTTTATTAGATTTTTTTCCCAGACCACAAAAGTAGTCTCCTGATGTAGTTTAAGCATTGTTGTGGATTTAGAACAGCCAATGTAGTTGTTTTTCTATTCAGAGGAAGGCCCTCAAAATTGTCAAAGACTCCAGCCACCCTAGTCATAGACTGTTCTCTCTGCTACCGCACGGCAAGCGGTACCGGAGTGCCAAGTCTAGGTCCAAAAGACTTCTCAACAGCTTCTACCCCCAAGCCATAAGACTCCTGAACAGCTAATCATGGCTACCCGGACTATTTGCACTGCCCCCCCACCCCATCCTTTTTACGCTGCTGCTACTCTGTTAAGTATTTATGCATAGTCACTTTAACTCTACCCACATGTACATATTACCTCAACTACCTCAACTAGCCGGTGCCCCCGCACATTGACAATGCAACGGTACCCCCCTGTATATATAGCCTCCCTACTGTCACTTTATTTTACTGTATATATAGCCTCCCTACTGTCACTTTATTTTACTTCTGCTCTTTTTTTCTCAACACTTTTTTGTTGTTGTTTTATTCTTACTTTTTTGTTTAAAATAAATGCACTGTTGGTTAAGGGCTGTAAGTAAGCATTTCACTGTAATGTCTGCACCTGTTGTATTCGGCGCATGTGACCAATAAAATTTGATTTGATTTAGTGTGATTTGGAGAGTGAAAACCTGAAAAAACTGGGGGAAATACAAAACCTGAAAAAACAAATAGACAAAATGGAATTTGGCAAAAATAATATGTCAGAATGTCATAACAGCTGACATAACCGTGTCATGACCCATATATTTACACCTGTTGTGACATATTGCGTTATTGTATGGCTGGTTATGACACCCATTGGTGTGTACATCGGAGTTAATATAGCCTTTGTTGTCTATTCACTGCAACGCCGGCGGGTTTTGGACTTTAACCCCTTTTAAACATTGTGTGTGTTGACTTCTATTTCTTCTGCATCCGTTGCTACCAACCATTAATCTGTGTGATTAACGAGGGCTGAACTACAGCTGTGTTTGTGAGACAAGGGCAGATCCCTTAGGGAACCTGGGACGGGTCTTTTTACAAAAACGTCTGTACAGTACGTAATGGTTTGAGCTACAAACTATGAAAAGCTGACTCTCACAAATACACGTTTGGCTCTATTACGCTCACAAGCAACACAAAGAGTCATTAGAAAGTAAGGGTTTCTTCTTCATAGAACATCCTAGGAACACCAGACTCCACACAGTTGTCACTGACTAGTTGGATATTCATTTCCCACTGAGCAAACAATCTGTCCTTACAGCATTCATAGAAATTCATTTATATTGACATTTGTCAAAAAATCTCATGAATGCAACCGTTTGTCAAATAGTTGTGTGTTCTACTTGTAGACCTGGTTGTCCTGAAAATAAAATGGTAAAACACTTAATTGTGAGGCTAAATATAAGGGCATGCAGATAAATGAAAGTCAAATAATGAAAATGCGAATTTTTGCTGGGGTCTCGGGACTGATAGGGTTAAGAGTCAATGTTAATTCCCTTACCGGATATTCCTTCTGCAGAGAGGGAATGACTGGTTCAGGCAGAGCTGTAGAGACATGCACACTGGGTTAAACAGTGTAGTGGTTTCCATGGACAAAGGAATGTCAGAGGTATATCGCAGTTAGTGCAGGACCATGAGCACTGTGTGTGTGTGTGTGTGTATGTATGTGTTTGTGCGTTCACTCACTCTGAAGGTAGTGTAGTACCATCAGTACTAGAGTGTAGCTGCTGAGTGTTCCTTTGCTGGCATCGTTTATCCCGTGATGTCTGGCCCACCTCTTAATCACCAGAATGATGGGACGCACACGCCGCTCAGCTACAGAGACAGAGAGAGCTGAGGCTAGTACAGCAGTTTAACATAGAGAACACATGTCCAGCACATTGTGCGTAACAGGGTTAGAAATGCTCCTTATTGAAAAGTGACTTTCACCTAAATTATCTGTTTCTGATATTATTCATGTGTGAGTGGCGTAATGTGGTAGTGCAGTTCTGTGGTTACTCTAGAAAATCATCTGAATAGAAAGGATAATACCCACAGTAAACACAGTTTAGATTAGAGAGGACGCGGGGGGGCCCAGACAGATTATGTGGGAGCGGGTGGTCAGACAGACAACTTTGGGATTAAATGTTTTCAGTGTAAGCTTAAGACTAAAACCAGATATACAGTATGTTGAAAATATAAATGGAGCTATATACGGTATGTTTAAATGAGATCATATTTCAGAACAAAAATCTAAAAATCTAATTCAAAAAATTTCATAGCATGGGACACCATTTGATTTGATTATGTTTTGAGTCACTTACAGTGAATTCAGAAAGTATTCAGACCATTTCCCTTTTTCCACATTTTGTTACGTTAGACTTATTTTTTTCCTTCATCAATCTACACACAATACCCCATAATGACAAAGCAAAAACTGGTTTTAGACATTTTTGCAAATTAGTTTTTTTTTTAAACCACAGAAAAACCACATTTACATAAGTATTCAGGCCATTTACTCAGTACTTTGTTGAAGTACCTTTGGCAGCGATTGCAGCCTCGAGTCTTATTAGGAATGATGCTACAAGCTTGGCACACCTGTATTTGGAGAGTTACTCCCATTCTTCTCTGCAGATCCTCTCAAGCTCTGTCAGGTTGGAAGGAGAGAATCGCTGCACAGCTATTTTCAGGTCTCTCCAGAGATGTTCGATCGGGTTCAAGTCTGGGCTCTGGCTGGGCCACTCAAGGACATTCAGAGACTTGTCCCGAAGCCGATCCTGCATTGTCTTGGCAGTGTGCTTAGGGTCGTTGTCCTGTTGGAAGGTGAACATTCGCCCCAGTCTGAGGTAGTGCTGCAGAGATGGTTGTCCTTCTGGAAGGTTCTCCCATCTCCAGAGAGGAACTCTGGAGCTCTGTCAGAATGACCATCGGGTTCTTGATCACCTTCCTGACCAAGGCCCTTCTCCCCCGATTGCTCAGTTTTGCCGGGCGGCCAGCTCTAGGAAGAATCTTTGAGGTTCCAAACTTCTTCCTTTTAAGAATGGAGGCCACTGTGTTCTTGGGGAACTTCAATACTCCAGAATCTTTTTGGTACCCTTCCCTAGATCTGTGCCGACACAGTCCTGCCTTTTTTGGTATCCTTCCCTGTGCCTCAACACAAGCCTGTCTCGGAGCTCTACGGACAATTCCTTCGACCTCATGGCTTGGTTTCTGCTCTGACATGCACTGTCAACTGTGGGACTTTATATAGACAAGTGTGTGCCTTTCCAAATCATGTCCAATCAATTGAATTTACTACCGGTGAACTCCAATCAAGTTGTAAAAACAACAAGGATGATCTATGGAAACAGGATGCACCTGAGCTCAATTTCGACTCTCATAGCAAAGGGTCTGAATATTTATGTAAATAAGGTATCTGTTTTTTCTATTTAATACATTTGTTTTCACTTTGTTATTATGGGGTATTGTGTGTAGATTGATGAGGATTTTTTATTTATTTAATCCATTTTAGAATAAGGCTGTAACGTAACAAAATGTGGAAACGGTCAAGAGGTCTGAATACTTTCCAAATGCACTGTAGCTAGCTATCTTTTTGATACACTGTTAAATCAATTAGTCACTGCTAGACTGGTAGCTACCTTCAGCTGAGTAAACATGTCTGTCCGTTCGATCTATCTTTGACTAACGTAAGCTAGTTAACAAATAAGAGTAACTCAATCTGGTAGCCATCTATTCCACCCTTGTCTGGAAAACACTGTTAGTAAAAATAGAATTGTCAATATAGTTAACGCACTCTCGGTGTGTTGGTAGTAATTATGAATGTGTATAAATTGTCTATGGTTAGTTGGTTCTCAGCCTGCTAGTAATCTTGCTGCCAATTTAGTGACGCTAACTAGCTAACAGCAAGCTGACAATATTGAAATGTCCATGTTAGGTGTGCTAAGCTAGCCAGTCTAATAGAGATCAACACAATTAGTGAGGTGGTTAAATTGTGTATTGTTGTGTGTTCTGTTATAGATGGTACATCATCTGATTCCAACAGCATGTGTTTCCAACCCCAAGCTCTGCACAAGGTGAAGGTAAGTAGGCAAAAGATAAGCTGACGGAAAAGATAGCTCAATTTACAGTAAGCATGGTATAAACATGAATTTGGTAGTGTTTGTGTTATGGGGTTGCATGTGGTTAGATGTAGCCTGAGGACCACAGAGTACCATCCAGCCAATGTAATCAATTTAGTCTACCCCTTTACTCTTTTTACCTTTTCTTTTTGTAAAACTCAGGTTATCTGGAGTCCTTCCACGGACCCTACTGAAAGATACCCCAAAGCGGTGGCATTTTGGGTACACAAGCATGAGGGGGGGGGGGGGGACAGCGGTTATGGAGCACAACAAGATTGTGGGACAAAAACGAGCCAGGGACACTGACAGGTCTAAAATCAAGACAACACTAATGACACAACCACCTCATTCTTCTCTGCAAATTCTCAACACACAATTCAAGGACACGTCTACAAAAATCCCCTGCTACTATTGACATGAATGATCTGTCAAAGTCAATGGGCTTGAGGAAGGGGTTTTTGGTTGTGCTTAAGAGACAGTAAATGTAATGTGTATGAGAACGATTGAGGAGAAATGGCGCCTTTTTCAATCTCCCATCCACAACAAAACATACTGTGTAAGAACTCTCCTCCTAAGACTTTTCACACCTTCTGCAGCCCCCCCAGCCCATTCACTTTGTTGCCTTATCGTTCCTCTCAAAAGCAGATCCCTATGTCCCTAAAGAAAACACTAGTCTGTGTCTAACACTTAGGTCCCAATCAGTTGACACCGTTACCAAAAAAGGAGTGTTGCCCTATGCCCCTTCCACAAAAAGTGTAAAATTTTAAACACCACAACCATGTCTTTCCAGGAGATGTGCAGTACCAGCAAATCTTCTGCAAGAGGTCCTACACCACTTATGGCAGTCTTATCCAGCTGGCCGTACACCGGGACAACACCATTCGCCACAAGCACTCTGCTTTAACAACCCACCACGCCAAACACCTTTGCCAGTGTACCGAAGCCGGATAAAGGACCATAAAATAAATATGGATATTTTCGATCAAGCCTCAAAATGTGTTTGCCTTTATGGATTCACAGAATGTATTTACAGTGCCTTCAGAAAGTATTCAGACCCTTTAACTTTTTCCACTTTCTTACGTTACAGCCTTATTCTAAAATGGATTAAATAAATAAAAAATCCTCATCAATCTACACACAATACCACATAATAAAAAAGTGAAAACAGGTTTTTCATTGTTTTTGCAAATGCATTAAAAATAAAAATACCTTATTTACATAAATATTCAGACCCTTTGCTATGAGAGTCGAAATTGAGCTCAGGTCAAGGCACAGATCTGGGGAAGAGTACCAAAACATTTCTGCAGCATTGAAGGTCCAAGAACACAGCGGCCTCAATCCTTCTTAAATGGAAGAAGTTTGGAACCACCAAGACTCTTCCTAGAGCTAGCCGCCCGGCAAAACTGAGCAATCGGGGCAGAAGGGCCTTGGTCAGGGAAGTGACCAAGAACCCGATAGTCACTGACAGAGCTCCAGAGTTCCTCTGTGGAGATGGGAGAACCTTCCAGAAGGACAACCATCTCTGCAGTACTCCACCAATCAGGCCTTTATGGTAGAGTGGCCAGACGGAAGCCACTCCTGAGTAAAAGGCACATGACAGCCCGCTTGGAGTTTGCCAAAAGGCACCTAAAGACCAGACCATGAGAAACAAGAGCATCAGGTCTGATGAAACCAATATTGAACTCTTTGGCCTGAATGCCAAGCGTCACGTCTGGAGGTGAAGATTGATGTTGGCAGCATCATGCTGTGGGGATGTTTTTCAGCGGCAGGGACTGGGAGACTAGTCAGGATCGAGGCAAAGATGAACGTAGCAAAGTACAGAGAGATCCTCTGTAGCTCAGCTGGTAGAGCACAGCGCTTGTAATGCCAAGGTAATGGGTTCGATCCCCGGGACCACCCATACACAAAAAAAAATAATATGCACGCATGACTAAGTCGCTTTGGATAAAAGCGGCTGCTAAATGGCATATTATATTTATATTATAGATTCTTGATGAAAACCTACTCCAGAGCGCTCAGGTCCTCAGACTGGGGCGAAAGTTCACCTTCCATCAGGACAATGACCCGAAGAGCACAGCCAGGACAACGCAGGAGTGGCTTCGGGACAAGTCTCTGAATGTCCTTGAGTGGCCCAGCCAGAGCCCGGACTTGAACCCGATCGAACATCTCTGGAGAGACATGAAAATAGCTGTGCAGCAACGGTCCCCATCCAACCTGACAGAGCTTGAGAGGATCTGCAGAAAAGAATGGGAGAAACTCCCCAAATACAGGCATGCTAAGCTTTTAGTGTCATAGCCAAGAAGAATCGATGCTGTAATCGCTGCCAAAGGTGCTTCAACAAAGTACTGAGTAAAGGGTATGAATACTTTATGTAAATCTAATATTTCCATTTCTATATTCATAAATGAGCAATCATTTCTAAAAACCTGTTTTTGCTCTTTCATTACGGGGTATTGTGTGTAGATTTTAGATTTTTGTTTTTAGAAAAAGGCTGTAACATAAAATATGGAAAAAGTCAAGGGGTCTGAATACTTTCCGAAGGCACTAAGCAGTACAGGGCTCTGTAACATTAAACAGATGTTAGACATTCAGATATATCCAAATAATGTTTATTTGTCAAAATCTAAAATACAGGGGAGTATACAATATTTTATGCCAACTCAAAAAGAGAACTGGGTATTCAACATTAATGTTATATGATAAAAGTAACAAAAAAATACAGTCTGAACAGTGTAGTACAGTTCAGTGTGTCTCAGGTGTAGTAAAGTGCAGAGAACTGTAGCTGCAGATTGTTACAACAGATAATGTGATTTAACCAAAGATTTCTGGTATCTTACAGGGATAGGTACTGTTTGGTGTTGCACAGAATTTGACCAATCTTGGCGATGCCGTCTTCGTCCTCGAGTCATGGAAACAGGAGTCTCATAAAATGTCTATGTCCAGTTGCAGGGGGGTCCGTATGAATTTAGAAAATGCTCAGTTTTTAAAATAAATATTTTTTTGCTCCATGAAATAGTCCAACAGTGTACGCCGCCATCTTATCTTTTTCAAGTCTTCTCTCATTGATCGAGACAGGCGAGTGTCCACCCCAAAGTTCCGCATGTCAGGATGACAGACAACTGTCTCAATCAATTAGAAAATACTTGAAATAGACAAGATGGCGGCATACACGTCGATGGAGCAAAAAAAGTATTTATTTTAATAACTGAATTCAAACTGACCCTCTGCAACTGGACATACATTTTATGAGACTCCTGTTTCCACGAATCGAGGATGAAGAAAGCGTCACCAATGTTGGTTGCAAATTCTCTGCAACACCAAACAGTACCTATTGTGTAACTCCCAGTCATGGATACCAAAAATCTTTGGTTAAATCACATTATCTGGTGTAACAATCTGTAGCTAAGAGAACGGGTGTTCAGCAGATGACAGGATAGGTTGTCATTATGAAATTGCCATTCCAAAGAAACATACAGTAAATTCAGGGAACACTTGTAAAGCTGTGGGAGGAGTGTTGTCATGATCAAACTGCCATTCAGCTCTTGAGCCATCTTCTGCTTGAAATCCAACATAATGTCCAATCCATCGAGAGGGATACAGATCTGCTACAATAACACGCAGGCAAAGGAATTCTGTTTTTCCTCCAAGATTCCACTCCAGAAAGAAGCCCAGGCACCACACAGCAGTCTGCAAAACAAAAAAAGATAATACAATTATACTCCTTTGCACAGTTTGAATGAGAGTTGAACTGTGCAAGCATAACACCAATTAGGGTAGACTAGTTAAACATGCTTACATGTGCATTGGCACAGAGATTACATTTAAAACAATATCTAGCCTAATAGAAAGAAATACGGCATAACCCTCAAAGTTTGCCCAGTGACCAGACTGTGCAAATGTACCAAGGAAGGTAGGCAGACAGTATCTAGCTACAGCCATGTCTAACAGGCATGCTTAGTCAAATATTTGTATAGTAAAACCAGCTTTATAACAGTTAAATTGTAATTATTGTTTCTCCTCACTGTTCGCTAGTAAACTTAGCTAGCTAGCTTGCTGGATAGCCAATTATGGATATTTACATCTGTTTGGAATCCTGTCTTGCGTCATGCCTATCATATTGTGATTTTGAAATGCATCCATGGTCATAATCATAACCAATGTCAACCTTTGTCAATTATGTTACATAGCTAGCTAGTAAAACTATTTACAGATGCTGATGTTACACATTTCCTAAAAAGTTAAAAACGGGAGGCCTGGCGCATACTAACGAGTTAGCAGGTGCCAGGCTAACTAGCTAGCCAACTCCAGTCGTGTGCTAACGTTTGCTGGTAAACTTAGCTTTAGGTGGATGGTTGAAATGTTATAGCTTGTTGTTTATTAGTCATATCTACGGCTAAAAAGAGAAAAGGTTTCACAATCGAGATACAATAGGATCTCCGATTGTAAAACCTCTTCTATTTTTTATCACAGATATGGCTACCTGTAGTTGTTTAGTTAACTTAGCTACCTACCTAAATTAATTTGATTTCCCCCCACTGTAACACAGTAGTATGTTAGCTAGCAATAACCAATATGGGTTTCAGTAGATAAACTAAAGTTAGCTAGCTAGATGGCTTGCAGGAAAAATAACTTACCACCGTATTTGTCATCTGCCCTATTGGTGCTGGCATCAGCTGTAGCGGAGCTTCTTGCCAAATCCAACTCTTAGAAACATGGACGGTTGAATGTCACCATGTAGATAAAAATAAATGCTCCATCGTCAAATTCATGTTGATGAGAGGAATCACTTGAAGCCTTTGTGGTCTGGTCAGTTCTTTCAGTTTAGCCCAAAGGATTGTGTTGTTAGTGTCGCCTCCCTTTCAAAAAAGCCTGCCTTGGGGGACAGGGCCAGAGCACGAAGCACCGCCCCACACCAGTTCAGACTGGAAATGGAAAAAATTTGTCAGCTTGTATATTTTGCAATGAACCCGCTGATAGGAACATTGCTGAAAGTTGTCCAATGGCTCTATCGAACAAGGACAACCATATCTACACGCACAAAAATGTATAGTGCAATCAGTATCACATAGAGCCTTCTCGAAATGCCACACAGCAGGACTACATATATTTTCAGACCTGTTGGCCTTCAAGAAAGCAGAAGTTTTTGTTAAAACGGTCACACCTATTACAAGTAAAAATGTGATTAGTTGATTCCACTGTCAACAAAAAATGAGTTTCCCTAATACAGTTGAATGGCAGATGCCTTCTATCTAAAATGGATATTTTCAGACATTAAATCAGAACATCATGGAAAATAACAATATCATTATAATTTTATAAATCTTTAGCTCTTCTCTGAAGGCGTAGAAGGCCCTCATTGTGCCCCACTGTGTTTGGGTTAGTAATAATTTGTAGAGTGGATCTTTTTGCCCTCAGCATGCATTTTTTCACCATTCTCTGAAAGTCTATTCTCTGCGGCCAAAAGGAAGGCCTCTAAAAAAAAAAGATGTGAAGACCATGCCATTCACCAAGCAGCTAAAAGAAATCCTAGGGAAAACACTGCTGATATAGCCCAATAATACAATGGGCCACACGAGAATCTCTGGTATTTTAACCTATTTTTGTACATTTTGATCTTGCCTAGGGTGGCAAAATTGCTGGGACCGAGGCTGCAACGTGAGCTGCGTCACATACACCTAAAATAACATTGCGGGACTGAGGTTGGGTTCAGGACCAGTTCTTGCGGAGCAGGTGGGAGTCAGGCAAGAAGTCCGCTGGGAGCGGGCGAGTGCGGTAAGAAAAGCAGCAGGATCGAGATGAAGAAAACAGTCCCAGGCAGACCTAATTTAGATCGCCAGTTTTAGTGTCAACCACAAACTGATTATTTAGTTTCACCAGTAACCAGGTGAGGGTGAGAGGCGACAGGTTGTGTGTGTGTGTGTGTGTCCTTACCGTCAGCGTAACTTCTCAGCAGGAAGGTGTTTCTGATCCCTACAGTGTTGTTTACGTTCAGATCAAACTCCACTCCACTGGAGAGAAGGGAAGAGAGAAATAGCTTTTTATAGAGAAATATTTGATATACCCCAGGGATGGGCAACTGGTGGCCTCCCCCTTTTGAAGGTCCTCGGCTCAATTTCTCCGGCCCAAAAATGTGGGTACGTAGACCCGCGAGCAACTGCAGCCCTCATGATTAGTTTTTTGTGGCCCCCACCCCCATCAAAGTTGCCCATCCCTGATATACCCAGTTCATTACCCATGTACTGTACTACTGTGGAAATAGACCATTAGTAACATGTCAATATTTATTACGTCTATAAAGAAATATTTGATGCACAGCAGTATTCAGGGGTTAAACATTTTTATTATCCCATGACTGAAATGTAAGTCTCTCAGATCGATTGTCTGTGGCCAAGTTAACCTCCCCTTTCATGTAAAAAAGTAATGACCATCACGCTTTTAGGGAAAGAGGATCATTTTGTACACTGCACCATAATAAACTGCAAGTTTGACCAATTCTCAGTGACTGAGAACTTTAACACCCGAGTACTGTGTGAACGAGAACCTCTACCATTCTACCCAGTCAGCAAGAGGAATATTGGCTCCCCCTCAAGAGTGGTTCCTCTGAAAGTTTCTCTCAAGGAGACTTTCCTTGCCTGTGTTGCCTCTGCCTGCTAAGCCTAAATGCATTGCATTTGGGAAAAGCAAAAATACAAAGAAAAAGTCATTGATAGAGGTTTCGACCCACCTGACTTTGTCTCTGAATTTGAGGATGGGGACCTTGGCTCGGATCAGTTGAGGCCTCTCCATGTACGCTGTGGACCAGAACACACACATATCCATCAACTCCACAACACACTGCACATATTTTCTTTTTTACTAAGACCGCCAAACTCAACAACATTGCACACTAGGGCTGTCCCCGACAAAATAAAAATATTGGTCGACTAAAAGTCGTCTATTCTTTCGACCAATCGATTTTTTTATTTTTTTAACGTGTATTTTCCCATATATTGACACATCTTCTGCGTTTTAATCAAGTCAACTATATTCAGAGCTTGTCTGATGCTTTAAGCACACGGTTTGATTAAAATAATTAAAAAACACAAATGAATAGACGGAGTCCGACCAGCAATTTATTTGATTGTGCCGGGCCAGGCTCAGACGTGCTTTGTTCCCAATAAATTGACAGTTGTGACCGAAGCCTGGAGGTATTTATTCTAGGCGTGAAGATATTATTCAGTATTTCAACATTTCCCGGTGATCGGGCCACACTGATAACTCAAGCTTGGTTCACACGTTTCTAAACCATACCAAACCATATTTACTATAGCGTCGCCATAATATTTGAATTGAGGAAGTGTCATACACATTATAATATTTTAGTGATCTGCTGTACGTCTTAAAATGCCCCACAGCCTTCAGATGTGAGCTAAACAGTGCAATTGCACTTGAGATGCATTTTAAAGCTATGGATAGAAAGTTAACTTCTCATTTCCAACCGTTTTGGTCAGTTGTATGCTGCTGCTTTGCGATCTATTAATAGCAAGGGTTGCATTAAATAGGCTCAATAATTTTTACTGATGCATTTGGCAATATTCAATTCATACGCACAAAACATATAAACAAAATAATTCACTGTGAAAGTAGATAGACTACATGTAGGCCATTCATATATAGCTTATGCGCAGCACTTAGCTCAATTTATCGAATCAGTTACTGTTTTCTTGCGCAAACCGCGAGCAACATGTAAAACTCAGACATTTCTCTCAAAATACAGGGATGTCAATTCGCACAGGACTAGTATTATCAGACTACATTGCAGTTCGCCAAAAAAACAGTAGGTTATTCTGGCTGGAATTGTTACTCTCCTGCCATGTAAAAATGACTGACATGGCAGATTCAGACGGGACTAAAATTACAGATGTGTTTTGTGCTCGTGCACATAATTACATTACCCGACCTCCCCCAGTAAAACTAATCCGGTCCGAATAGGGCACAATAGGGCCTGACCTATAGCCAGGGTCTATCTTTGTCATTCTGCCGCCATAGGGAGACCAAAAAATGCAGCCCCCGCAAAACTACAATAGTCCCAATAAGCAAAATGACGTTGAATAGAAAGTACAATTTAGGTTCTAAATGAAAGGTGAAAAGGTATGGAGGACTAAAAGTGCCACAATTAAATAAATAAATACACCATTAAATAATTACTTAAATGTGTCATTAATTAATTCAAATTAGAATTAAATACATAAATGTGTAATTAAATGTGTCATTAATTAATTCAAATACCGATTCATTGTATGTAAAATACATATATAATAATTTCACTATTTACATTTACATTTCATGATCCTGCATTGCAGTGATTCATGAATTACTTAAAACTGTCAAACTGACCCATCAAAGTCAGTGGGCGGGGCTAACGCGAATCTAGTCTGATCCATTGCTTTGGTCTGAAGTAGAGTAGGCCAACCTGGATAGAGACAATGGAGGATCTCCGTGAACTTTCCAGGGAGTTGGTTAGAGACATTTTAAACTTAGCAGAGGATGTAGAAGCAGGACCTGCTGACATTATCCGGAATTGATTTGTCTTGGCTTGATGCAGAGGGTAACCAATCAGGCGTTAGGTTCCGCCTACCAACTTTTGATGGGTCAGTTTGACAGTTTTAAGTAATTCAGGAAGCACTCCAACGCAGGACCATGAAATGTAAATGTAAATAGTGAAATTATTATATATGTATTTTACATAAAATGAATCGGTATTTGAATTAATTAATGACACATTTAATAACACATTTATGTATTTAATTCTAATTTAATTAATGACACATTTAAGTAATTATTTAATGGTGTATTTATTTATTTAATTGTGGCACTTTTAGTCCTCCATAAAAAGGTATTTCCGTATGTTTAAAATATATATTTTCCAGGACGCTGAACATACGTTTTTTCCGGACGTTGAAATCAAGTTCATTTTCGGTTCTGAATGAAAGTAGAAAATAAGTAATTTACCAAATCAAGGCTGGTGCAGATTGGACAACATCTGAACAAAACATAAACATCTATGATTGGTTCAGATTTGGTCCGGACCAAAAACCAATGTCCGTGGAAGTGGAGATCAAAGCTGGTCCTGAACTGCACCCAAAAAAAAGACGTCCAAAAGGCGTTGCCGTTGGTCCGTGCTTACTGAGGTATAGCCTACAGCGTGCCTGAAATGTAATTTTATGAATGCACATCTACTGTATGTGGTAAGCATACGATGTGTAAAACTTTTTTAAAAACGACAGCCGGACAAGACCAAAAAAAGACGTCAGCTCGTGCTTACTAGGGTGTAGCCTACCATGTCGGACCCCAATGGACTTGTATGAATACCCATCCATGTGGTAGGCCCACCGTTTGCAAAACAGGCCATTGCATTGGCTTTATTAGTCCTGATTCCTGTGACTAATCAATTTGGCTATTTAAGTTCTGAATATCAGCTGACCAACTTTATCAGGAGTTATCGCAAGACTATTTGCTATGTGTTTATACAGTGGGAAATGCATGAGCATTTTCTTTTTCGCTACGATCAGCTTGCCAAAAAATTTACAGATACAAACTTGAAACCACTGATCATGACAATGGGTTGAAACTCCTGGACAACAGTTGTGATTGTCCATTCCATATCATCCATTTTACTTTGACCTGTCCTGTTTTTAGGATATGTTGCTTTATTAACATGACAGCAAAAACATTTTTTGATTGAGCGCCATTTAGTTTAGGCTATTTGATCGGAGAAACCTGATGTAAAAAGTGTCCGTCTTATTACATTGGCATACATTTTATCTCCAGCCTGTAGGCTACAGAAAGGCCACATACTCTTTCTACCATATCCTATATCTAATACATGATTTGTTAGATTATTATAACTTTTTTTGACTCATCGTTGGTGGAGAGGTGCAGAGATGCGTCTCTACAACAGCACCCTGGAGAGGTGCGCTAGGAATGAACAAGTAAAATATTTTGCATCCCTGCCTTTGACAAAGTGGGCACTGCTTATCAAAGGGCGGCATCAGCGCTCACCTAAAAAGGCCAAGCCACCTAATCCTGCCTAATGAGCGGGCAGGCAGTGCCTATACCATATCATAATCCCGTCAATAAATTGGTTATAACAAACTCTGAACACCGTAACATGTGACAGCAAAATGGATGCAGAGGACGTGACAAACTCGAAACAAGGGAATATTTACAGGTTGCTCAGGTGGTAAAGGGAAAGTCTGATGTGTGGAACAAATGTAACTAGTTGTGGAAAGTACTGGAGATCAAGAAAAAGAAGGTAAGCAGCAAGCACTGAGTGCATATTATGTGTGCCAAACAGATGCTGTAGAGCTTACAATATACTTTTTCTGACCGTTTGGAACAATGTAAAACACTAAATAAAGTATAAGCGTACCAGAGAGTCTGTTGTAAAAAAATATATATATGTTTCGCCTTTATTACAGCAAAGACTAAAAACAGCAGCATTCATTTGTGAATACAATTTCCGAAATTGAACTGTTTATTGTTTAAGCTAATTATTCAAGGCTCGCTTTATTTTTAAAACTAAAATGCTTGATTGCATTTCAAATCATGAATCACTCGTATGCTGTGTGATGACGTTTACAAATGAATGATTGATACAGTAGCCTATAGAAGTATTGAAATATAGGCCTAAGTAAGTTACGGTATTAAGACTAAACAGGATGTGCTCTTAGGCCTACAGCTCGATGGTGGTTATACAATGCTGCTATACTAAGCCTACTAATGACAATTACATTACTTATTATAATAATAATAATAAGGAGATCAAGAAAAAGGAGTGTTATTATTATAAATATGATTTTGGACAATTTGGAACAGTGTAAACACTAAATCAACTATAAATAATACCAGAGAGGCTGTTCAAAAAAAAAAAAAAAGTGTAAAGCATTTATTACAGCAAAGCAAATATTAAAAAGAGCCGAATTTATTTACTTGACATGTCGTTGCGTGAGGCTTGGTGCTCACTGAATCAGTAGGCTATTAAACAAACACTCAAACATGCAACAGAAGCAGGATCTGTCTTATTTCTGTAGATATATATGGATGATTTATAAAGCCAGGCACATTTAACAGTTAGGCTATTGATTATAGACCTAATTAAGTTGGGGTTTCCTCTCTCCTCACTTTTCTTAGACAATAAGGTGAGGGCTGTTTTCCCATCTCCTCATTCTGCTGCTGCCTCCGCGGCATTGTTCTCAACACCAATATGCGGGTTAACTTTGCTATTATGCACATAGCAACATGGTCTAGGAAAAGGCGCCAATTCAACAGTGCACTGATGTGGTTATAGTCCCATGTAGCTCAGTTGGTAGAGCATGGCGCCAGGGTTCTGGGTTCGATCCAAATAAAATAATATTTGTATTAGTGTTGCACCGTTTCTCTAATGTAATATAACAATACACAATTTCAGAAGCACGTCTTAAGACTGTGCCATCCCCACGGCCTCCACAATGGATCAGTCCACTTGACTAAAGAAATCTCGGTCAACCAACAGCCTATCTACCAAACAATTGACCAGTCAACTAAATGGGGTCAGCCCTATTGCACACACAATTTTAGTTACCTACAGCTCACTCTAGAGGCCACTGGGGAGAAATAGGGCTGCTCCTTTATCAGAACATCTCCATGTTTCATTATTACTTGATCCCATGAAACAGGATGGGTCAAGCCCAATGATCTGACACGTGAAAGCAATTTGGTGTAACAATAAGGCAGAACTCTATCCAGTCCTTTCACTTACTAGTGCTCATAATGGAGAGGAGAAAGGGAGAGGAGACAAGAAAAGGAAGTTGATGAAGAGTATTGAGAGACATTCCAGGACACACAGCTGAAATGTGTTTATGTTAAAGGTGCAATCTGCAGTTCAAACAACAACACAGCCATCACCTGCTGGAGAAAATGTAACCAATCAAATGTTTGTTTTAATCTATAGATTTAACCATGTTGTAAGGCTATACAGTGTTTGTTTACAACTACACTGTTTACAAATGGAGGAAATCAAGCTTACATTTTGGGTTCTGATGATAGTTGAACTAAGCTCATGAGGCATTTATAAGTTATATTCTTCAAGAATTAATGGGTGTATATCATTAATTTAAAAGTAAAAAAATGGATGTACCAATGGCAGATTGCCCCTTTAAAAAAGTTAGTACTCACAGAGCCTGTAAAAGAGCTGCTGGATGAGACCGAGTACATAGACAGCATCATTCCTCTGGTCCACCTTACAGACACAGACATGGTAAATGGGCATCTTATTCATATAAAGATATGAGACAATAAAAGCACAATGTAAGTTACTAGACCATTCAAAATGGTGTGTGTGTTATAAGTAATTGATGCACTCACCGGTGCTGCTTGGATGACCAGACAGAGGTCAGCATCACTGTTCCTGCTGCCAAAACCATTCAGAGAAGAACCAGCCAAGTACAACCTCGCCACTGAGAAAATTAATGACAATAGGACGACATTTTTATTCCTTATTTTACCAGGTGAGTTTTGTGTGTGTGAGATACATACATGGGAAGAGTCTCTGGATCTCCCTCTGTAGTCGAGCTCTGCACAGCTCTTTCCACTCCAGGTCAGCCGACTGCTGCTGGCATGCTTCAAACAGGTCCACCATCTGACCACTCAGCTGAGAGACAACACACAACATGTGCTGAATCACACTGCCTATCCCACTGGGACTTGTTTTCCCATGATCTCTAATATTTGTTTGTGTACACTACCAGACAAAAGTTTGGACACACCTACTCATTCAAGGGTTTTTCTTTATTTTTACTATTTTCTACATTGTGGAATAATAGTGAAGACATCAAAACTATGAAATAACACATACGGAATCATCTAGTAACCAAAAAAGTGTTAAACAAATCAAAATATACACTGCTCAAAAAAATAAAGGGAACACTTAAACAACACAATGTAACTCCAAGTCAATCACACTTCTGTGAAATCAAACTGTCCACTTAGGAAGCAACACTGATTGACAATACATTTCACATGCTGTTGTGCAAATGGAATAGACAACAGGTGGAAATTATAAGCAATTAGCAAGACACCCCTAATAAAGGACTGGTTTTGCAGGTGGTGACCACAGACCACTTCTCAGATCCTATGCTTCCTGGCTGATGTTTTGGTCACTTTTGAATGCTGGCGGTGCTTTCACTCTAGTGGTAGCATGAGCCGGAGTCTACAACCCACACAAGTGAAGTGGCTCAGGTAGTGCAGCTCATCCAGGATGGCACATCAATGCGAGCTGTGGCAAGAAGGTTTCTGTGTCTGTCAGCGTAGTGTCCAGAGCATGGAGGCGCTACCAGGGGACAGGCCAGTACATCAGGAGACGTGGAGGAGGCCGTAGGAAGGCAACAACCCAGCAGCAGGACTGCTACCTCCGCCTTTGTGCAAGGAGGAGCACTGCCAGAGCCCTGCAAAATGACCTCCAGCAGGCCACAAATGTGCATGTGTCTGCTCAAACGGTCAGAAACAGACTCCATGAGGGTGGTATGAGGGCCCGACGTCCACAGGTGGGGGTTGTGCTTACAGCCCAACACCGTGCAGGACGTTTGGCATTTGCCAGAGAACACCAAGATTGGCAAATTCGCCACTGGCGCCCTGTGCTCTTCACAGATGAAAGCAGGTTCACACTGAGCACGTGACAGATGTGACATTCTGGAGACGCCATGGAGAACGTTCTGCTGCCTGCAACATCCTCCAGAATGACCGGTTTGGCGGTGGGTCAGTCATGGTGTGGGGTGGCATTTCTTTGGGGGCCGCACAGCCCTCCATGTGCTCGCCAGAGGTAGCCTGACTGCCATTAGGTATCGAGATGAGATCCTCAGACCCCTTGTGAGACCATATGCTGGTGCGGTTGGCCCTGGGTTCCTCCTAATGCAAGACAATGCTAGACCTCATGTGGCTGGAGTGTGTCAGCAGTTCCTGCAAGAGGAAGGCATTGATGCTATGGACCGCCCGTTCCCCAGACCTGAATCCAATTGAGCACATCTGGGACATCATGTCTCGCTCCATCCACCAACGCCACGTTGCACCACAGACTGTCCAGGATGTGGATGCTTTAATTCAGGTCTGGGAGGAGATCTCTCAGGAGACCATCCGCCACCTCATCAGAAGCATGCCCAGGCGTTGTAGGGAGGTCATACAGGCACGTGGAGGCCACACACACTACTGAGCCTCATTTTGACTTGTTTTAAGGACATTACATCAAAGTTGGATAAGCCTGTAGTGTGGTTTTCCACTTTAATTTTGAGGGTGACTCCAAATCCAGACCTCCATGGGTTGATACATTTGATTTCCATTGATAATTTTTGTGTGATTTTGTTGTCAGCACATTCAACTATGTAAAGAAAAAAGTATTTAATAAGATTATTTCATTCATTCAGGATGTGTTATTAAAGTGTTCTCCTTATTTTTTTGAGCAGTGTATTTTATATTTGAGATTCTTTAAATAGCCACCCTTTGCCTTGATGACAGCTTTGCACACTCTTGGCATTCTGTCAACCAGCTTAGTCACCTGGAATGCATTTCAATTAACAGGTGTGCCTTCTTAAAAGTTAATTTGTGGAATTTATTTCAGTCTTAATGCGTTTGAGCCAATCAGTTGTGTTGTGACAAGGTAGGGGGGTATACAGAAGATAGCCCTATTTGGTAAAAGACCAAGTCCATATTATGGCAAGAACAGCTCAAATAAGCAAAGAGAAACGACAGTCCATAATTTCTAAGACATGAAGGTCAGTCAATACGGAAAATGTCAAGAACTTTTCTTCAAATGCAGTTGCAAAAACCATCCAACGCTATGATGAAACTGGCTCTCATGAGGACCGCCACAGGAATGGAAGACCCAGAGTTACCTCTGCTGCAGAGGATAAGTTCATTAGAGTTACCTGCCTCAAAAATGCTTCACAGTTCAAGTAATAGACACATCTCAAAATCAACTGTTCAGAGGGGACTGCGTGAATCAGGCCTTCATGGTCGAATTGCAGCATAGAAACCACTACTAAAGGACACCAATAATAAGAAGAGACCTGCTTGGGCCAAAAAACACAAACAATGGACATTAGACCTGGAGTCCAAATGTGAGATTTTTGGTTCAAACCGCTGTGTCTTTGTGAGACGCGGTGTGGGTGAACGGATGATCTCCGCATGTGTACTTCCCACCGTAAAGCATGAAGGTGGTGTTTTGGTGTGGCGGTGCTTTGCTGGTGACACTGGCTGTGATTCATTTAGAATTCAAGGCACACTTAACCAGCATGGCTACCACAGCATTCTGCAGAGATACGCCATCCCATCTGGTTTGGGCTTAGTGGGACTATCATTTGTTTTTCAACAGGACAATAACCCAACACACATACAGGCTGTGTAAGGGCTATTGTACCAAGAAAGAGAGTGATGGAGTGCTGCATCAGATGACCTGGCCTCCACAATCCCCCGACCTCAACCCAATTGAGATGGTTTGGGATTAATCGGACGGCAGCGTAAAGGAAAAGCAGCCAACAAGTGCTCAGCATATGTGGGAACTTCTTCAAGACTGTTGGAAAAGCATTCCAGGTGAAGCTGGTTGAGAGAATGCCAAGTGTCCAAAGCTGTCATCAGGGCAAAGGGTGGCTATTTGAAGAATCTCAAATATAAAATATATTTTGATTTGTTTAACACTTTTTTGGTTACTAGATGATTCCATATGTGTTATTTCATAGTGTTGATGTCTTCACTATTATTCTACAACATAAAATATAGTCAAAATAAAGAAAAACCCTTGAGTAGGTGTGTCCAAACGTTTGACTGGTACTGTATATCCATGTGAATGTGAATGTAAACACCCCGGTTAGATAAAAAGAAAACCGTTACACATACACTATATATACAAAAGTATAAGGACACCCCTTCAAATGAGTGGGTTCAGCTATTTCAGCCACACCCGTTGCTGACAGGTTTATAAAATAGAGCACACCGCCATGCAATCTCCATAGACAAACATTGGCAGTAGAATGGCCTTACTGAAGAGGTCAGTGACTCAACGTAGCACCGTCATAGGATGTAACCTTTCCAACAAGTCAGTTCGTCAAATTTCTGACCTGCTAGAGCTGCAACGGTCAACTAAGTGCTGTTATTATGAAGTGGAAACGTTTAGGAGCAACAACAGCTCAGCCGCGAAGTGGTAGGCCACACACACAAGCTCACAGAACAGGACCGCCAAGTGCTGAAGCGCATAGCGCATAAAAATAGTCTGTCCTCGGTTGCAACACTCACTACCGAGTTCCAAACTGCCTCTGGAAGCAACGTCAGCACAAGAACTGTTCTTCATGAAATGGGTTTCCATGGCCGCACACAAGCCTAAGATAACTTTGCGCAATGCCAAGCGTCGGCTGGAGTGGTGTAAAGCCATTGTACTCTGGAGCAGTGGAAATGCGTTCTCTGAAGTGTTGAATCACGCTTCATCATACAATGGCATTCTAGACGATTCTGTGATTCCAACTTTGTGGGAAGGCCCTTTCCTGTTTCAGCATGACAATGCCCCCATGCACAAAGCAAGGTCCACACAGAAATGGTTTGACAAAATCAATGTGGAAGAACTCGGCCTGCACAGAGCCCTGACCTCAACCCCATCGAACACCTTTGGGATGAATTGGAATGCCGACTGCGAGCCATGCCCAATCACCCAAAATCAGTGCCCGAAATCTTTCCTAGAAGAGTGGAGGCTGTTATAGCAGCAAAGGGGGGACGAACTCCATATTAATGACCATGCTTTTGGAATGAGATGTTCGACGAGCAGGTGTCCACATACTTTTGGTCATGTAGTGTATAATATGCATTATTATCATGATCCTGAGGCTTACCTTGGCATAGGCCTGCAGTGGGCTACCAGGTCTCTCTCCCCACAGAGGTGGCATCCGTGGGGCAGAGGGCTGGGGACTGAGAGGGGAGCGCTGGGTCCAGGTAGACTGGGTTTCCCTGGGGCCAGGGTGGGGTACAGCGGGAGAGCAGCAGGCTTCAGGAGGACTGCCATGGTGGGGGACAGGGGAACTGAAGCGCTGCCTCTTCAAATTATATGGGCTGTGGTCTCCACTGTGCCTCCTAGTAAACATAGGGAGGAGACATACAAGCACACAAACGCGCACACACAGGAGAGGAAGACATACGTATGCACGTGCACACACACAGGAGAGAGGAAGACACACAGACACGTTAGACTCAAGGTACACTGCAACCTCACAGGTCTGATGTTGGGAAATGGTGCCTGAACTAATGAAAAGGTGCAGTAAGAAAAATGACAGAAAGAACAAACAATCCTTACTTCCTTCTGTTGACCAGTGCAGATGCATGAAGAGCAGGTGGAGGAGGAGAAAGAGGTTGGGTGCTGGGACTGGGCTTCCAATCATAGGGTGGAATCAGATGAGGACCTGCGGGATGAGGCCGACCATGGAAACTACACACACACACACACACACAGTGAGAATAACACACCAGCATGAACTACCTCAGCAGTCGATAACCAGAGCTAAGAGAGGGAGAAGTACATACAAGTAGCCATTACAAACTAAAGAGAACACATTTTCATTCTGTATTGCTTGCGCATATGATGTATTTATTTAGCAAATAGCGCAAATGCAGGATTTATTTTGACGTGAGGTGAAGCAAAGAGGAAGTGATTTGTCAGGTGAGGAAACTGGAAAGGTAGTATACAGCAGACCAACGTTGGGAAAGTCTGTTCAATAATACTTTATTGTGGATATTTTATCTTAAATTGTGTCTGCATAAGGACCAACCCCCTAGACACAAAAATAAAATTGTTTTCAACATTCTGTTGAGAGGACCTCTTCCAAAAAGTCTATGGCATGGATCATCAACAAGATTCAGCCTGGACCAATTTTTTCAGGGGGCCTTAACATAATTTAAAATAATTTGTAGACCGCAAGAAACCCAAACTGATATAATATTTGACTAAAACATAATTTCAAACCTTGCTTACACATATATATATATATATATATATATATATATATATATATATATATATATATATATATATATATATATATATATATATATATAGAGAGAGAGAGAGAGAGAGAGATATCTTTGTGCATGGGAATACTTTGGAACAGATTTCCAAAATTAAACTCACTTGGAGCTGATTTGATTGTGTTTTACTGTCTTTTATGACCAACAATAGAAGAAGAAAACTTGGGGGTACAAATAAAAAAATCACCCCCGGGCACAAATTCGGCCCGCAGGTCACCTGTTGGGGAACCATGGTCTATGGCATATTATCTGACTGAATAACTAGTTAGCATGCTAGCTATCTCGGGATGTAGGTTAGAGTTGGGTCCGCAAGGGTAAATGGAATATAGCATGAAAACGCGTTCTCAATAATCTGTTTAGATATACATACAAGCAAAGAAAGACCCACCCAGGCACATTATTCCATGCGATTGCCTTTGAGTTAGTGATGTTTCGCTGAGCCTCAGTTAGTCGCTGGTGGTGTTGGAAGGCCAGGGGTAGTCCATTACTATGCACGCGTTTGGGGTTGTAGGGTGGGCGACCTGCTGGCGCTGCGTTGGGGTACATGCTGCTGCTCACGGAGGTCCAACATCAATGGCGCCTCGGTGTATCGCTCTCAGGATAGATGACGAACCGAGAAACAACGTCAAGATCTTTGCTAACAGTCTTTAATATTTTGATCAAGCTAGCGTTAGTGGTTTCACCCAGTTTCGCAGTAATTAACTACTATTAAGTAGCAAGTTTGTTTTGAGTCTGCGTCAACAACAAATGAAATGGTATTTTTCACATGATTCGTAAACAACAAGTGTAAACTTAACAGTTTCATAGCTAGCTACAGTTATGCTAGCTATATCCAGAGCCATGTGGCCATCTATTGACTAAAAAGAGAAGACGTCTTACATTCTTTGGTATATCTTCTTATGCTAGTTAGCTACATACACCCGTTACCCCTTAACCAGAATCTGGGTTTACAGGAGACGTTGAATATGGCGATTCTCCTTTGTCCCCAGGAAGCAGCCATTCACCATCTTATCAAGCTTAATAATGTCAAAATACGTTCGGTACTTACCAAAGAATGGGGTTTCGTTGAGCAACTATCGTCATTACGGCCGGTATGTATTTCCAAAAAAGGTCTAAATAAAGTTAGATGGAACTGAAAAAATGCATTCGACCAATGCGCATGCGCCTCTTCTGCACCTCAAATAAAATTACTCATTACTGCCACCCACAGGTCGGCTGATTCAGCAGCAGGAAAGGTCTTTGACCATGTTTACATGAGCACGGTATTCCGGATAGTAGCTCATATCCTGCTTAAGGTCTTATTTACATGCAACTGATATCCCCGCTCACGAGTATCCCTGAATGAATAAACAGAATATTCCTCATTTAAGTTCATATAGGTTAAATGGAATTGTAACTGAAATATGGGCGGCAGGTAGCTTAGTGGGTAAGAGCGTTGTGCCAGTAACCGAAAGGTCGCTGGTTCTAATCCCAGAGCCGACTAGGTGAAAAATCTGTCGATGTGCCCTTGAGCAAGGCACTTAACCCTAATTGTTCCTGTAAGTCGCTCTGGATAAGAGCGTCTGCTAAATGACTAAAAATGTAAAAAATGTAAAAATGTAAATGGACACGGACTGTAGGCCTATAACCTCTCACATGTAGTATAATAACTCCTGCAGAATTATGCATTTCTTGCAATAAAATGATACAACAAATGTTAATTTTGTCTTGGGAACAGGAGTGGAGAAATAGGATTTCTTTCTTTCAACATCTCTTGAGAAAATGCAAATGCTTGTGTAATGTGTTATCTTTGTTATGAAAGAAGGCAGTATTTCAACCACATAAATTATGCACCCGATTAACTGAAGTCTCAGAAACGTGTTTTATCAATTCATTTCCTAAAAACCAGTCAAACTGATAACATTTGGACATTTTACACAGGACCAATCTTTCCACTGTTATGGAGTTATTGTGTTTTCTCCCCGGTCTCTAAACGAAACAGACAACTGTACTGCGTTAACTGGATTACTAATGCATTAATTATGTCAATATAAGACATTATTCTGATGAGCATGTAGTATCTAAACAGTTTATGATTTTGCTGACGTTTGCAAATGGTGTATTAGAGGAACTTGGCTCTGCTTGCGGAAACATCTGGAAAACATTATTATAGGGGCCCCCTAAAACAGAGGAGAGTCTGCTATGTAGAGGCCGGGGATTGGTCTATTAAAATCACGCCATATTATGTTACATAGGATATAAATACTTGGTTGAGACAAAGGAGGACAGAACAACATATAATTTTGGGTCATTGTTCTCCAGATGCCTGCAGATGTCTGTAAACTTACGCTGAAATCTTGTGATATAAATAAACCTTTATAATCAAAGTACAGTGTAAGCAGACTTCTTATCATCACAGCATAGATCCGCATCGTTGTCTTGGACACCACATAAATGGCGACGAGGGACCTTTGGGACGAATTGCGTCTTTTCTCAGCATTCCATTCATGGGCTGCGAAGTGACTCCCGCTCAAGACGCCGGCAGATAAGGTGAGATTTCTCACAGTTTTGGGCGCTGGTCAGTTAGTGTGCTTGTGCATGTGTGTGCGTTCAGACGTACCGTTAAAGGACTTGTGTGTGCGCTTTGCTGTTATTTGCTGTGTGATGAGAATCCGTTCTAAAAATTCTAAATTTGTTTGAGTTGGAAACAACGCAAACAGGGGGGAGTGTCTATAGGGCACACCGATAGGGCACACTGATATTTTGGCTTGATTAAAATTAAAAGGAGTGTCCAGGAATAGCATGAAGGAATAAGGCCAGGAAATAAGGAAAAAGTATACTTTTAGGACGTTGCTGATTAAGGAAGCCCTCAAACGAGGCAATCATTAAGATGGGCCATAAATCCTGGGAGTCATTAGATTGACTGTCGGGTCAGTTCTGGGAACTGTCAGTTGTGGAAGATACATTCGATTGCACGTTACCTCTCGGAATATAGTTGACGAAGTATATGTCCGAAGTAACCTCTCATTGAATGTCTACAACTCGAGGTAGCAGAAATTTAGTAAGGTACAATGACAAATATGGAGTGACCGTAGTATGCTTAATGTATTGTATGAACGGATGCATTCTTGTTTAAACTGTGTATGCGTGTGTGTGTGAGACAAGGAGAGCCTATGTCTCTGTGTGTGTGTGAAAGAGAGCCTATGCGTGTGTGTGAGTACATGGAGAGGTCTCTGATGTGTTCCAGCTGTGTGTCGACTAGGGCTATGACAACAGGGGTTTTAGTTTTTTGTAAGGAAATATGTTAGTTATGGTTAAAACCTTATGAGTCTCCGTTAGAGAGAACTTTTAATACTTGTTAAAAAAAAACTATGAGCCCCTGGGAGGAGGATTATTTGTAATGGATTAGAAAATAACTATGAATCTGCAGATTACAATAATTAAAGATAAGAAACTTCGAAGTAGGATTTGTGTTCTGTGTTGGTTTGTGAGTTTTGTTAAGTGTTACTGTTTGTCAAAGGGGGGAGCAAACGGAGCGACAGCGGGTCTGTCTACTCTGTTGTTTAGACTTGGAGAGAGCTGCCTGAGAGCTCCATCCACTCTGAAATCGCACTGGTGAATGAACTACGCACGCGTGGGATTTTATGAGTTTAGAGTTACGTAGGGCAAATGTGCCACTCCTCTGCCTGCACTTAGTTGCTGGAAGACACAGACTCAGAACAGACAGAGACAGAGGGAGAGATTTAGACACTAATAGTCTTCTGCTTGTTAAATCGGCTTTTGCTTGATGATGAAACTATTTGTTGAGATCTATTGAATTGATAAATGAGAGAGATATGTTGACGGATTAAAAATAAATAAATAATTAAATAAATAAATAAAATAAAATGTTATTGAGCTATTTATAATATTCCTGAGTTAAGCTGTTTGCTTATTTCTTAGCGCCAATGTGAACATAGGTATGCATAAAATACTAAATTATTGTCTGTTTCTTTGTTCTTCTGTGATATGAGAGACGATAAGAAGGAGGAGAGAGAGAGGAAGTGCTGACAAGTGCGTCACGTGACAGGGTGTGCTGACAACGGATCAACTCCAACTAAGGCCAGTACTGTTTTATCCACAAAACCCACTCTCCCTTAAAGGATATAATAGATACATTGTGTATGCATAGAATATTTCATGTTGTGACCATTTCACAGGAACTTGGCAACAGACTGATGAATTGATGTAATTGATAATTCCACATTAGGGTTTTTGTGAATGAGTTGTTTTGATTAGAGTTGTGTTGGAAATCCAGCACTGACATTATTCTGTAAAATTAAGGTAATTGGGTGTTTATTAAGCAATTGGTTTGTGAGTACTGTAGTGTTGCAGGATTAGAGGTGTTTATTCTTTTTGGATTGCTCTGAAGTTGACTACTTTCCTTTACTTTTCCTGACCGGATGTGGTAAGATTGCCGCTAATCAATAATTTGGTAAAATAAAATAAATAAAATAAATTGATATATTGATTAATTGATTAATTTATTAATTTATTAATTGATTAATTGATTAATTGATTAATTTATTATTTGATTAATTGATTAATTAATTAATTGCAATCAAAAAATATAAATAAAATAAAAACATTTACAAATGAAATAAATAAAAAGGAGAGACACATATAAAATAGTCGTTACAATGGGGAAAAAGGACATCAAAACTACAAAAGTAATTACTCCTGTTGATATAGTACAAAATAGTAATCCTCTAGTTAATGGTATTGCAAGGTTATCTGGAAAATGGAATAAACGTTGGCCTGACATTGAACAACCATGGCCAGTGGAAGGGACTCTTAACCCAGACGTCATCAAGATAATGCAAGTGCTTGCATCCACGTATAAGGCAGATCAAAAGAAGGGGAAAAAAGGGGAACAACGTAAAGAAAAGAGACAAAGAGAGCTGGGTGTTCTTAAGCTGTTTGAAAATGAAGGACAAAAACTGATAAAAGATAGAAAAGATAAAAGAGACAGAGGTATAGAGAAAATTGCAAAAGAGGTGAAGGTAACAGAAAAACTAATGGCAGAAGTCAATACACCTTTCTCACATATGGATTCAGCAAAAAGACCCCCACCTTACGAGGAAGAAGTAGAGTTTAAGGACGTCTATCCTCAGCTTCCAGTGATCATTCAGGAGGGTGATTATTGCATCAGAGATGAAGATGAACAAATAATAGAGAGAGGACAAGCAGAAACGACAATAAAGATGAATCCAAAACTCCAAAAGTAAGAAGAAAACGAGATGTCTGGAAACTAAGGGTGGAGTGAGGTTCAGGAGGAACTTGAAGATGATGTTAATGATCAGAGTGATTGAGAAGAGATCATGGGTGGATATGACTCTGTGATCAGAAGGAAGTTGGCAAGAGAGGAAAGAAGAAGGATACTAGAGATTTGATCTCTGATGGAAGTTGAAGGAAGAATGATACTAGAGATTCGATCTCTGATGAAAGTGAAGATGGAGAAAGCAATGAAGATTTGGAGATTAAAGGTGCTTTATGTTCAAGAGGATTTTATCCTACAATGATTAGCA